GAAATCTTCATACTCATCGCCCTGATGATGGAGGCAGTATGACCTCTGAAACGTTGGTTAACATCGACCAGACTACACAGCGCAACAACCCAGAAGACGGAAATCTTCTGAAATTCTGTCCTCTGATTCAGAACATTTTATATGCCTCCGACATATGATTAATTCTTTGTCCACGAAGGTCGGTAGATGGTACACTACGACCCCACACACTCTGAAAAGTTCCTAGTGTAAGTGAAGACACGTACTCTTTAGTTTCTCGATCTGCATCAGTGCCTTGTCAGTGTATTTCTGTGCCTTGTCCATGTAGCCAGCCTGCATGCTGTGCATCACCGTCACCAGGTACACCAACACGTACAGATGTTCCTTTGGCATCCAGATGAACATGTCCCCCACATTGGGGCCACTCACACCTGGAACAGTGGCGTTATGACACCACAAGCCAGTAATGTGTATGAGTACACAACTTTCTGTCTTTCACTGCCGTGGTCAGCAACGTGCAGGGGAATTTGTTTTCGAAAATCCCACGGATGGATCCACGAGCTGTTACGCAAGCCTGCAGCTTTAAGTAGCCGAATGACCAATCCTACAGTCCAGACCTAGTCTCAAGTGATTATTTCGTACTCAGACTGCTGAAGATATGTGCGCGAGGGTTGTCCAATGTGAAGTGGCCCTCTTATCAACCTGGATCAGCAAGTCGTCATATTTCTGATTGATTAAATGTACCCATAGATATGAATAGATTGAGTTAAAAACAACAGACAGTCAATGAGGGGTGGTCCTCCAGTTTGGGGATTGGAAATGGGGTTAAATACCCCCCACCATAAAAAGTAGCAGGTTACATGTCGCAAATGAGACAGATTTTTTTTTGGTATGTCTTTAGGAATGGGCAAGGGAAAAAAATCTTGGTCAGAAAAACCTCAAGGAAGACGTAAGTATAGACAGAATTTTACGACCAGCTCGTTGGCTATGAACGTTTCAACGAAGACCTTTTATAATTTTTCAAGTGATGATGGCTGGTACGAAAGATGGAGAATTGGAATGTGGTGAGATATGACTATACTGGAAACTTGAACGCCAGTTTCTGAATGGAAGTTCAGTTTATATTTGCCGAACAAGCCTTGCAATAAAAGATACTCACTCTCGTCTGTGGGCCAAGAGGGTTGCATGATGGTCTGGATGCTCTGCTGAAGCTGCTTCAGGCACGGCTTGACGCTCTTTACTTGCCCTGCCATCAGGTAGTGGCACACCTACCAACATGTTTCCCTCTTTTACACAAACAAGAGAAGAATATAACAGCATTCGGGGCGGGGTCCACAACGTTAGGTCCGATACACGATAGCTTTCTTTAATCCTTCAGCATCGTATGTCGACATACAATTAGCAAACTGGAAATATTCGCAGTAACATCATCAACAAATTTTCTTTACACATTTTTTTGATCAAATGATCGCTGCGGCAAACTGGCAATGAATTACTGAATGCTTTGTCTGGCACCATTTGCCACAAATAACTCAAAGCTTTTGTAAGAAAATAAAGCAATTATATATTATGAGGATTCAGTCCTTCAAAGGTATTAAAATCCCCTAAACATGATGACTGCAGAAAATTCTGACCGTGTTATTAATATAAATAAAGACTTAATCCCGCCAAGTAAGACGTGAGCGCATAATCAAGGCAAACAACACAGAATTTCATTCATTTAATGTCAAATGGCATAAAAATTGTAGTGGAATGTTAATTCATAATAAAGACAATATAAAGTTTTCCTACTCTAAATTCAATTTATACACACACACATATAATATTTTGCCAATAGCTGACAAATGATTAATAAAAAATAAATGCAGAGAGATGCGTTTACAAGAAATACCAAGTCTTGTCAAAACGGCCACCGTAGCGAGGCGCAAAATGTTTGCTTTATCGCAGAAAATTAATAACTAGGCCATGTACGATCCAAAGATAAATCACAAGATGTGGGCTGAGTGACCTCGGCCATGTACGATCCTAAGAAAAATCACAAGATGTGGGCTGAGTGACCTCACCTGTAGCACAAGGAAGAACACCTTTAGGTACTCCTTCTGGTACTGACTGCCCTGCCAACCATCCACCAGGTGGCCGGCCTGATTCAGCAGAGGGTGAACTTCCTGGAACTTCTTGTCTATCAACAGGAGCTGCAACATGACAGGTCTTTTAACCATAACACAGTCAAATTAAATCTGAATTTAGGCGACAATGGCGTATTATTATAATGACAAAATTATTGGGACATTATATATCATTCTAATTTTAATTAAGAATGACATTTCAGAGACTGGAATCTGTCTCTGTTCACAGGTAAAACATACTCTGTTGGGATCAGTCGACAGCTTGTTCCAGTCTCTGAAATACTGTTATTAACTAATATTAAAACAATGTGTAACGTCTGAGAACACCTCAACTGCCTGCGGTAGCAAGCACTGACTCACCATGCCTCTGCTAAGCAGGAAGAGAACCCTGGTGTAGGCCGCATTGGAAATATGAGCATAATCCACCCCAACCCCCAACAGGCTGCTCGCAAGCTCATAATCCCGCTCACTTGCGTGAATTTGCTGCAACACAAATTTTAATGCACACTCCATGCAGTGACTAAGAAAAGATCTCAGTCTGACTAGGCAGTCTCCATGCCAAGATTCAAACCTGAGGTCTTCCAAATAAATGCTGATGTACGTAAATTACAATTTAAAAAAATCTCCTAAATCCTGGCCAATGTTTAAAGTAGATTTCTTCCCAAATAAATGTGTACATTGGTTCACTATATAAACCTGCTTCATTCTCTTTTTTTCATGCAGCAGTAAAACTTTCAGAACTTTACAATACAATGACTACACATGGCTATCATAATTGGTAGATCTAATACAATGCCTTCTAACCTATCCAAACACTGAAATCTGTCATTGAATCAGGATTTTATTTATTGTTACAAACAGAAAACATGCCAAAACTTATTTAATACAAATCATAAAGTAATGCTAGGATACAATATTTCTATGAGCTGTCACATGAACTCACTGCTAGCTGGAAGATAAGTCTGCAATGCCAGTAAACACTGTGCTGTGATAGCTCGATGGCCTTCCTCAAGATAGGTTTTGACAAGCTAGATTGTGCCTGCTGCTCATACAGCTCTGCTAGGACACTAGCAGCTTCGAATTTCACGTCATCAAATGCATTTATCACTTGAGAAAGCAGCCACTGTTAAACATTTAGTACAGGAAAAATGTTAGCTCTAGTTGTCCGCAACAACAAAATGTGTATTCAAATACTGGAATATGATATGGAGATAATGGATAAAATACTGATTATACACCATTGCATTTACAGAATACAAATCACCTATAAAAGTGATAATGTATGTCAAATGTCATACCGCTTGTTCCATATTATACACCACTGCATTTACAGAATACAAATCACCTACAAAAGTGATAATATATGTCAAATGTCATACCGCTTGTTCCAAATGAGTTCTCGCCAAATCGATGTTCTTAGTATGGGTCAGCAAAATATTTCCCAATTGCAGATGTGTCCTAGCTTCAACTCTGGGTGGCGGTTTGAAATTGAAAACTGCTTGTAAACACTGTATACACAACTTTATGTTTGGTGGACTAGACGTTCTGAAATTTTCCGCCAAACCTAACAAAGATAAATACCAGGCATCTTGAGAAGACGCCATTTTCACATTTCTATTACATATTGACTAGTTATTTCGTTGCACTTTTGTGAAGATGGCAGCACAATCAACAGACATGTGCTGTTATCTGTAATCATTCTTGTAACCACAATAACCATCGTGTGTGGTGTGTTACGGATAATCGAAATTGGCAGGCGTAATATTTTTCCTCGAGATTATCCAATCTTCTTTCTCTGTTTTCTGTCAGGATGCGCAGTCCTCAAGACGAGATTCGAACCTTGGCCCCGCCAAACACGAAAAGTGAACGCTAACCATTGTCTCGTGACGTTCATCTTTACAAAACAGCAAAAATAATATGCTCATCTCATGATATGTCTGAAACTCAAATTAATGGGTTCAACTTTTTACTTTCAACAAATCTACGATGCTGGAGGTTAATTTGAAACAGATGATTTGTAACGAAATAATCAGAAGTACTCGGTTCTTTGTCTGTAGCATCTGGTATAAATACAATTGTTACATACTTCTAATAAAACCTAACCACAGTCCAATTCTCAGTCACACAAGAAGACAGCACCCTGGGACTAACCGTGGTCCTGCTGTCTGTGTATGGCACGTCTTATTTTATCGATCTGAAATACGAGGCGTGTTTCTGTAGGCTATAAACATCTTCCTGATATCTACGGGAAACAATGCCCTGTCCCTTGTACAGAAATTTCATGCTTTGAAACTCAGATGATGCAACAATAGTTGTAATTCTCTACGCCATTTCCAGGTGGTCGGAATGACAAGTGAAGACTGCGCTTTCTTCACAACTATTTGGATGGAAGCTGGTTACGCGTTAGTTTAAGTTTCAGAGGAATACTGGGTTAAGTCCAGTGACTGCCGACTTAAGGCTCATCACCCATAGGTGCGTACCGCCGGCAGACTTACACCCCAGGTGATCACCGGGAGGACCTTGGCGTAGGAACCACTCAGGACGAATTACTGCCAGTTGTGACAGCTTTCACTTCGAAACAGATGTCCAGCAGCGACCGGAAACACGAAATTACGTCTGCTGTGACAGTCACCCAATGTGAACTGAGAATAATATTAAAAGTAATAAGAAACACTGAAGCATATGATAACCGACGAAGAGGCAACAAATGAACGTTGACCAACAACGGTAATCATTTGTAAACTGTAAATTATTATCATAGGCTGTACGTTAAAATGAAAACCAACAAAGTTTTTGTAACAATGAATCCACAAAATGGCACTGTTAGCGTCAATTATCATTCGTTCGTCTTAGCTTTGTCACTTTCTGTTTACAGTAGTCACATTATTTATTAAAATTAACTCGCTGATGACCAATCGCAGATCGTGATATAAAAGGATAACATTAAGATGCATAATGATATAGGAACGGAGGGGGTGGATTGGATTCTTCTGGCTCAGTATAGGGATCAATGGAGGGATCTTGTAAACAGGGTAATGGACCGTCGGGTTTCATAAAAGACTGTGAATTGACTAGCTGAGCAATAATTAGTTTCTCAAGGACTGTTCTATGGGGTCAGTAGACTCGTGATACACTGGACACATCTAAGACGTGTCTTCATTGCGTCATTCTGAAACAAAGTGGAACACGCTCAACCGCCTGTGACGTCTTCATTGTTCGTCAGTTACCCTGTCCCCTGTGAACCAAGGACTTTCACGTGCGAGCTGCCATCTAGTCGGGCGCTCAGTGCACAGCCGACCGTAGACAAGTGAACAGCAGCTCGCGGTGAGTAATCGTCCGCCCATTGTTGCGGTAAATGACACAAATAGGAATAACGTATGTTCAGTGAATTAACAATGTGTTAAAATTAACTCGAAGTGTTGCAGCGTATGGTTGAATATGAGAAACGTGATTCAAGCTTTTAAAAAATCGTGTGGGTATATAACAGGAGTTTAAAATAAGAGAAACATTATTTTGATAACGGTTTTATCTTGGATGACACCTTCATACATTTTGTCATAACACACCTGGTGCAGAATACCTACTCATTTCTCTCCGATCTGTGCTCATCCACAGTCGTTCCCATCAGATACGAAATTATAAAAATTCGTATTAGATCCTGTAAAAGTAGGGTCCTTCAACTTCAGCGTTTGCTGCTCGGTCTGACCAGACTAGAATATTTTAAGACGCATCGCCCTGATGATGGAGGCAGTAACGACCTCTGAAACATCGGTAAACTTCTACCAGACTACACGGCGCTACAACCCAGAAGACAGCCATCTTGGTACTCAGCGTCCTGAGAATATCAAATTCCTACTTGGAATTTTTTTTAAAAAAAATTAACAATTCTCTCGCGTTTTACCGAATTACTTTATCGTAGAGGGACAAAGTTTAAAATAACTGAAGATACAAAATTTCGCTCTTCTGTCCAGATCCCTGCTGTAACAATTATGAGGACGTAAACAGACTGCTTTGTCTTGTGGATGTAAGGCTTATGGAGCTGGAGGTGGGTTAAGGTGGCTGGGTGCAACATGTGGACGGGCTTGCAAGAAGAAATTTCCGTTCTCCGAACGTCTTCATGGTATGATTATTACACACAGGTTATTTTTACGACGCTGACTAACTCCAAGGTGCAGAGAGCTTCTTGAGATACGTCGAGTATTCCTCGTTTCACGTAACCTGAAGAATTAACATTACTCTCCATAACGGCCTGCCATTGGACCCTTTCTTGAGCCACCTTAATCCTATCAGAAACCTCTGCTGTGCATTGTAAAAGGCGAACTTGGTCTAATTATACAGGCGGCTAGAGGACCTCGGTAAATATTCAAACTGTGTCGACACGTCACCATGACAACCACAGTGGTTTATATCAATCGCACCCAGGTGACGCGCGACGCATTTCGGGGAAACAAAAGAATAGCGGACTGCAATAACTTTCACCTCTCAAGGACCTGCTTCATAAAGGGCATCGAGTTTGGAACTGCAAGGAAACCGGGAATTGGGGCCTGAAAAACAAAACAAAACCGAAGCTCGTAAAAATAACTGTCCTTGTCAAATGTCGAAAGCAACAGGAGATTTGCGCACGGAAAAGTCGTTCTCGGGCTGGGAAGTGATCGGACCCAGTCTTACATGGCTTCTCGCGAGGAAAGTAAATGGGGAAATTATCTTAATATGGACCCAGTGCAAAATGAATTGGCCAGGAGAAAGTTTAACAGGGGGATTCTGCGTTAACGTTAAGGAAACTTCAAATACCGTTGCTTCTGCGAAGTTGTTGAACGGATGACTTGTCAGTTACTGAAGAAAGTGTTTAAATACTGTTCCAGGTAACAAATGAGGCCTGCAGCCGTGTTTCTACTAGCGACAATGGCGCTGGCAGAGGGCAATGTCTCGGCAGAACCCTTCCAGCTGGCCAAGCTCGTCTTCACGTTGTCTCGACCCGGTGCCTTCAACAAGGTGAGGAGATGCTGTGTCCGTATGAAGACCCCTGTTCTTCGCTAATAATCGCCAACTTTTCAAAATTACAGACGCACTCTGTGTTCGGCGGGGAGTTCGATGCGCCACCGGACGTGACGTCATGTCCACTTAGCAAAGAGGGACTAGCCTGCCGGCAAGCCGAGGCGAGGCGAATCATCGACAATTGTCCAGGAGGTGAGAATATAAACCGGCCTCCAGAAAAATCACTTGTTTTTACCAGAATATAAAACGCCTTTATTTTAAAATAATTTCGATAACTGACGACATTTTCTTGTAGCGTAATGAACAGAACTTCACGTGTTCTCGGCAACAAACCTACCCCAGTGTCAACGCGTACGAAATTGTAATCCGACGTGTCGCAGACTGTCTTCGCCTCTAGCGTACGCCCTGATGATGGAGATAAAAAGTGTCTGCGAAACGTTGGATCTTGCATGTCACACGAATAACTTACAAACGAACCCTTGATGTGACGCCATCAAAATTGGACCAGGAAACAGTAATTAAAGTGTCTGGGCCTCGGTATGCGGAGGGACACGCCCCTCCATCGCGCCACCCGTCTGACCGGTCTCCTTGCCGGACAATGAGAAGTGCGCCAGGGGTGCCCAAATCTGATTTGGCGACTTACGACCGAGTCCACCGCATCGAGAAGTAGAATACGGCTTTGTCATTATGAACATTCGCGAACACGATATTAACAAAATTGCGTATACTGAAAAGTTGCCTGTCTTGTCTTTCCAACAACAAAATTTCTTTGTGAAACAGAATTTTAGTTAAAATAACACAGGATCAGGTTACTGACGATTGTGTCTTTTCGCCCTGATGATTTAATCGTGTCTAGCCTTGCAACTTCGCAAACTGAAGTCAATGTCGAGCCCTTGGGTGGAGTTTTACTTCGCGGGTGTACAAAATGCACCTGGAATGGCCAATGATTTCACAAATATCCTGCGTTGCTTTGGCAGATACGCCCTAAAACAGTGCACATATCAGAAGGCAGGAAAAAATTCGACGTGGCCGCGTCAACACACAGGACTTATCGTCAAAAGAAGCCCTAAAACAGTGCACATATCAGAAGACAGGAAAAAATTCGACGTGGCCGCATCAACACACAGGACTTATCGTCAAAAGAGACTTTCCGAAACTACCTTTAATAAAACCTCACGTTTCAACAATGACCGAGACTTAAATAAAAGCTCACGGAAGTTTGGCTTCACATTCAATCGGCCTTCGCGCTCAGTTGTGCTCACAATCTGAGACCTCGCTGGAGTCTGCAGGGGTGGACAAACATGAATACACTGACTTGGACTCACGTGTCCTTATATTTGCTGTTTTAGGGGACTGTGAAGGCTGCGACTCCTGTGATGAAAATCGGGCAAGGACATGGCCCCACTGCTGCCAATATAAGAGTCTGTGCTGCTCGGAACTGGCAAAAGCATGTCAGATATGCAAGGTGACGTCACTGCAGACGTTCTGCAAGAAATACTTCAAGAGGTGCTTCTGAGCTCGAAGTGAGTGACAATCATCTCTGGACATGTCAAGTGTAAACGCGTTATTTTGTAGGACAGCCACAGGGCAAACAATTTAAAATGCGAGCCGTGGTTCAAAAATTAAATCATAAGCAGACCGAGCCCTATGTAAATCGACTCTCCCGACCTTCCCCCCCCCCCATTACATTCTAGTCAAGGTCACGCCAGCTTCACGAGCAGAATGAGTCTTCATCAACGAACGTCACTTCACGTTAAAAGTGACTGGTGCTGTCGGTGAAGCACTTCAAATGCAACATCCTGACGAGGGAGTACCAAGTAAGTCACCGATCGGTCGCAAACAACACAGTAAAGACAGCATTCCTAACAAAAAACTGGAAATCAATGATTTTTCTTGTTATAATGATGTCACCCAAACCTACAAATACTTTTGTATCCGGCGATGTTTTTTAAATGCAACATCCTCTATTAATAAACAGACACATGAACAGCGCTGGAATTCTAACCGCAGATTCAAGAGAAGAAGAAATGACCCGTGATAAGAGAGAACCTCCCGTATTTGAGTTTGGGGTAAGAAAGTTGACAAACGGGGTGCCATCATGGTTTCAAACACAGACTTTTAATTTTAACTGTAATACGCACAATCTAGGATAAACATCTGGACCATTTTCCACACTCCGCAGAAACAAATCCCTAAAAAAGTATGTACCAAGTAAATCCTCTTTTAAGACACATTAAAGTTACATTCCATACAGATCTGTCCATTGATTCAGAAATAATCTGGGGGGAGACACACAAACGTAGAAAATACGAAAAGCAGACCTCGCAAATATCCACCGACAGACGGGAAAACAACTTCGTAAAACGGCAGCATCGATGTACGCGTCTCGAGTCCGCCGACTCAACTGTGAGATATGAGAAATCTTAAGATCAATGATCACGGCTTGCGCGTCTCCACTGACATGACAGACGGACTGGAAAAGCATCAACAAAAATATTTTCTCCCATTTCTCTTTAATTTCAGGGAACTTGGTTAAGACAGAAAGTAAATTCTGCAGATTTAAAACTGCACCGTCAACAGAAACTCTGCCTCAAAACGTTAGTCCCCTGATTCATAACAATTCTTACCATCTGACAATCCTGAGATGGACACCACACGCAAACATATGAAGAAATACTTGTGTCCGCGGAAAGTTTATTAAAAATAAAGGTTCCGAGCATATCACGCTGTGTCACGATCCCCACAGTGTTACACATCACGAGGACTTCACTATTCGACGAAACGTAAACACCATATTTATAATCGTGGGAACACGTGATGTGTCTTCATGCACAGATGTGACGTACGACAGTATGCACGTAAAGCGACTCGCAAGAAAATTAACCCATTTGAATTAAATCTGGTATCGGAGAACTTTAAAAAATTGTCACACCACGCCAATTTTAAATTACATCGAACAGTTTTAATGACAATTTTATTTAACAACGCAAATACTTCTAGAGTTTATCTCACGTAACTGTGAATAAAGTTCCGCAGGCAGATTTATTTCTGTTACTGGGATAAACACGAAAAATGAGTTACATGAATGGATTTTGGGTTACTCTGATAAACATCCGCTACAGAATTAGCTAATTGTAAACAATCATTATGATCAAAAGTGACTTCACATGCATTCAGCTAAATTTTCCACATGCGCACACAGCATTTATTCACACAGTGTTATATTCGTACACAAAACACTTTGTACAGGACCAAAATGGAAACATTTCTTAAGAAAGCCTCGTCTTGACTTTGGAAGATCATTTACGTTAATCATAACCAAAAATCAAATCAGAATGTGAATACCCGTCCGCATTTCACGCTCTCCTGTGTTCAAATTTTACAAATACCACACAGTCTTAAAAAATAAAGCGTACATTCAAACATTCTCCTTCTTTCAGGAGACTTCCGTGGATTATACGGGTTTATCGTAAGTTATTTCGCTGTTACACTGCTGCCAAATGCAAATGAGTAAAAAATGAAGGTTGATAAAAATGTGCGTAATCACTTCTGGACAATTTCAGGCATTACACTAAAAGCCCCACAGCTGCTCAAAAATCTAAACAGCTGGGGGCAAGAAATGTTACCAACATGAAGACGCTCCCGTTACGACCGGTTATGTACACAACGCACTTGCAACGACGCCTTTAAATATCAATGAATACAGATTAATTTAACTAAGTGTTAACAACATTAAAACATATAAAATTAAACCAAACAACCATAAGGTATTAGGCTCAGAAACAGCTTTTTCAGAATGTCTGCTCAGACACAAATGCGACAAGTTCCTCAATTCTGAATATCGAAGCACGAACGGAATACCTGAGTTACAAAGTCCAATTTGTGTCAGTGTGCGCAAATTTAAAAGTTGCTGTCAAGGCCGAGATTTGTGCAAAGTCATGTCAAACAAAGTTGCATCTTCTTCTTCATCCCCCGCTCCCAGTGGGGTCATCTCGACGTCCTCTCGGTTCGTCAATATCCCATACTTCCTCACAGAAGTCTTCTTGCGATTCAGTCTGAAAGTTCAAACAGTAAAATGGTGATGAAACATGGCATTTCTAAATGTTGAACGATTTCATACAACAGTAGGCAACTAAAGTGTGCATCAAGAAGTACTCCACCTTCATTTACTAAAGATTTTATGCTTAATTGCAACCCAGGACCTCCTAAATAGGAAGCAAGTGAGTCAATGACTTGGCTGTTAAGTCAAGTGTGTTGTAAATCACGTGGAACACAAATGCAAGGTAAGATAAACTCACCTAACACAATCTTGCAACCAAATCTGAATTTTCATTAATACAGGCAAAATTACATCTAAATGGGTGTAAAATTTGTGTCAGTGTCATCAGTATATCTGAAAGCTTGTTGTATTGTGCAACTATGGCAAAAGGATGGGAAGGTGGCGGGGGCACATGGTGACGATGCCTTAAAGATAGTATTTGTAACTCACCTTACAGTTCTTACAACGATGTACATAACTACAATGGCGCATAAACCAACGAATACATAAAATGCCCTCACAAAGGCACCAGTACTGATCATTTTATGGGAAGGTTGCACAGTCTCTTGAGATGAATTAAGTTGCCTTGACACTCCACCAATTCCGGTATTCGTCGCGTCTCCATCTTTAAGAGGCGAAACTGTATTTTCATTTGGCACACTTTGTGCTGCTGAAGTTCTAACCTGATTGTCCTGTTGTGCAACTGGTTCGTTATCCTTAACACCTATCTTCTCCTTTTTGGTGACATCACCACTGCTAAAGACACACTGTATCGCAAGGCATAATGTGAGTACGAGTAGCACATTTGTGTAACCACGAAGCAGACGCATTTTTATCAGTTTTAAACATCGAGGCTTATAAATTCATTACAGCGCACATCCAAATCATAATCAGACAGTAGGGAACGAGATCTATAATTCAGAAAACAATTTATCCAGACACACAGCAACTTACGGCCATATACAGAATCCAACTGTCACGTTCATAACCAAACCACAGACACAGATAATATCAAAGGCCTCCACAGATTACATATAAAACCAACATAAGATATGAATTTGCTCCTCTATCGTCTACTTTGGCAATACAGCGCCAAGCATTACGTGACGTCCGCTCAGGAAATACAACAGTGTAAACATCAGCCCAGTCGATAAGGACGTAAACTACTTTTCAACCATCAAAAACCCTTCACCTATATATATATATATATATGTATTATTTTATGATAAACACCGAATAATCAGTAATGTAATTGATTTAATTTATTTTAGATGCAGATTATATACTATGTTTAACTTTAATTATACACCAACAACTTTGGGGGTAGAAAGTTGAAGAGAAATTATATCTGGGGGTACGCGAACAAAAAAGGTTGAATACCACTGGTCTAAATAACGCGATTGTTGACAAACATTCGCTTGCAGACGAAATTCCTAACCACTTGCAGTGCGAAGTACACGCGTAACTGATAATGCCATTTCTCGGGACATTACACTCAACTTGTCTGCACAAACCTTCGCAAAATCAGTAACTTCTATACAATACATATGCAGGTAGCCCTCGATTTGCGCCGATTTTGAAACCAGCAAGTCTAAAAGTGAGAAAAAAATATATTTTACTATTATTTATAACATTTTACAATGTATCTCGTACCGATTCTTATACTAAATCGTAATTCTTACATCGCTGATTTTGAATAAAAATTATAAACACAGTCATCTCTGCAATTATGATTGTATCGTTAACGCGATGAATCGGTAAAAGCTGTTTGTGAAATGCAAACTTTTGCATGACAGCAGAGATGACTGTACACATTGGCACCTCCCATAATTACGACATAGTCCTGAGTGCCTAATGACGAACAACCTCTTAAACAATTCTTCAATACACTTTTTATCTTAGCACTAGGCCTCACATTGTTTTTACAGAGCGACGTAGATATCACTGTAGAACATCAGTTTTTTTTTCTTTCTCAAAGCATTTACCTTTGGGCAAGTGAATGCTTTCCTTTATTGCGTGTCATTTAGTGCACTAAATTTGTTTCTCTTTGCAACTAGCAACGGTTGGGTAGCCTGTTTCCTTCTTACCTCACTTCCTTTAGCGTCATAACGCCAGTTAATTTCGTTTACTTGAAAACGCGTGTCTTGTGTTATTTCATTCTGTAGAACAGATATTATTTCACGCAAAGACGATATTTCTTCGAACAACATCGCTATTAAAGTGCTGTGTGGTTAAGTTCTCATTTACCAAGTCATCGTGTGATGAGCAAAAAAACAAAAACAAAACAGAACAATTCATTATTAGGTGTCTTTTCCTCACATACGTCGCTACATTTATTAAAATGATACCATTTATCGCAATGGTCACAAAATATTCCATTTCCAACTACTTTTTTACGCGTGCCACACGTATTATCTATTAAAATGTTACAGCATAATGCATACATGCACCCACTTTCTGCCATGTTTACTAATTCGGTTATTTCAACGCCCGGAACCAAACCTCATCTTCCAGGTGGAAATGCTGTCCTGGGTGCATAAATGAAATATCCAAGGAATTCAGTGAAGCTCATGTTGACTGCATTGCGATATTGGTCATTCTTCTTATATGGGTACGTACAAGGTCGCTCTGTCTGACTGAATGTGACCTTATATTATTGTTCGTACTGTTAATACCACATTTCACCGCATTTTCCCAACAACAGACAGAGTACAAGTGGAAATGTCATTTTGCCTTTGTTCCAGCTTATTGTAAAACACAACAGAGAGCACTCCAACAGAAATCGCCAACCCTTGCAAGGGGAGCATGAAGAAATAAAGTTTTCTTTGAAAGGGGTAAGTGTGGAGAGCCCTTGGTGGCTATAATGTATTCTCTGTCTAACTTTTTCGTGTAATACCAAATTTAGTCAAAAGCAGTCCACACACACAACTCAACCAGATGTAAAACTGTTCTATATTTTTCAACATTGATATAAACAATGAATTTAATTATGATTTTTACACAAGTAACTTTATAGTGACAGAATTATGAATGTTGTTTTTCTCTGGCGCTAGGTAAGAACTGCGGCAAGAAGACTCGCATCCATACATATAGGACGTAGAAGGGCAAATCAAGGAATTGAAGAAAGACAAGGAATGGAAATGAAGCCAATAAAGGAAGACAAAGGGGAAATCAAGGAAGTTAAGAAAGACAAGGGGAAATGAAGGCAATGAAGAAAGACAAAAAAAAGGGAAATGAAGGCACTGGAGGAAGAGAAAGAAAGGCAAATGAAGGCAATGAGGAAGAAGAACAGGAAGGCAACCAAAAAATAAACAAAAAAAAGACGAAGAAATGAAATTTGTCAGATACTAGAGAAAAAATGGGAGTTCGGTGGGACCGCACATCAATTATTTATAGATTTCAAAAAAGCGTGTGACTCTGTGAATAGAGAAGTGTTATATAACATTCTTATTGAATTTGGTTTACCAAATAAGCTAGTGAGTCTAATAGAAATGTGCTTAAATGAAACCCGTAGCAAAATTTGAGAAGGTAAATATTTATCTGAGTCATTCTTCGCCACGAACTGACTGAAACAAGAAGATGCTTTGTCTCCCTTGCTCTTTAACTTTGCGTTAGAATATGCTCTCAGGAAAGTCCAAGGTAGGCAGGAGGGTTTGCAATTGAATGGGACACATCAACTATTGGCGTAAGCTGATGATGTTAATTTATTGGGGGACGATATGAATACAATAAAGAGGAACGTAGAAGTTTTACTAGAGGCTAGTGGACAGGTGGGGCTAGAAGGAAATTCAGAAAAAACTAAGTACATGTTAGTATCTCGTCATCAGAAGACAGGCGGGCAAAATTATCTTAGGGTAGCTAATAAATCCTTTGAAAGGGTTACAAAGTTCAAATAT